CAATATCATTGATGGATCACATGGGAACCTCTGGTGATGACCCACTGGGGGTTGTGGCTGGAGCAGTTTGTTCACCAGCCCTTGGCTGCAGCATTTTGCGAATGGCGGTTCATCCATCAACACAGCGCCAACGTGTTTGAGTTGCATACATGTTGATCTGACAATTAGAAATGCAAGTTGCACTATTTTGCACTGTATTTATCTATGTTCCTTGGATTCGATGTATTTCGATGTGTTCGATTGTTTCCATGATCTTTCGATACAACATGATACAACCACAATAGATGTCCTTGCCGAGGTTGGCTCAGAGACAGATCGAAGGAGAGAAGCCGCCAGAACCCCAGCCATTGTTCCTTGGAGGCTTCCTATGGAAGTGACTCCAACTCTGAAGTTTTCAATGAACCGGCCATCTACTCCATTTTTGAACGATATTCAAAAGAAATGTAACCATAAGTCTAAGACGTTCTAAGACATGTTTTCCGGTGTGTAATGGTGTGTACAAAAATGCACAAGAAATACCACTCTATAACAGTCACATGCAGTCACATACAGTCACAATCTATCATTTTCTGTATGGCATTCAAGCTTGTTCTTCTGGGTTGTCTCTAGATTGGGAACGATCGGGGCCCAAACTCAGATTTGTGAATTTCCGCCCAGTTGCCCAGAGATCACGGGAACCCTTCAGTTGAGCCATCTTGCAGGCCAGCAGGTGTTCACTATCTCATTGTTGCTTCCAGAGGCTGTTGCTACACGGACGTCTCATGGGTTCGGTGATGGTTAACAAATTCAGGCTCAAAGTTGTTTGACAATCATAGACTTTGGAACTTTTGCATAGTTTGGACCAAACATATTAGGTTTCATTCCTTTCTTGCTTTGGGGTGTTTGGTCATTTTTGTATTTTTTGTATCATGTTTGTATTGGTTTAATCGCAAATTGTTTTTCCCCCTTTTTTGCAACTCTTCCCGGTGTTCATTTGCATGCAAGGGCAGCCATATGGTCGGCTTTAGTAAGTTCCGAACGACATTTGGTGGAGCAGTAGTCCTGTTTAGTACAAGATTGCTGGGTAGTGCCGGGGGGGGGGGGCAGGGCGGTACATTAATTCAAGACTTTGAGAGTTTTGGGATGATTTAAACAATTTTAAACATAATTAAACTATGTCAATTTGGTGTTTGGTTCAATTATTGGGTCGGCCCATTTGCCTTTCCTAGCCATTTGTTGCTCCGCGCAAGCGGTGTGGAAACCAGGGCACCTGCCAGCTATTGGTGCATTGACTCATGGGGTGCGCCTACCAGCCCTGCACACTCGGAAGAGCCTGCGTTTGTGTCGGCCCCCAGGTACTGGACCTTCCAGGTCATGCTGCTTATGTGGCTGAGGCGACCAGGGAGTTCATGAAGAAAAGACGGAAGAATGATCAGCAACAGCCAAGAGTATGTAATTGCAATGGAATATTGATCATAATTCCATACTATTTATTGCAATTTATTGCAAGAATTGTTGTTTGAATGTTGGAAGACTGAATAAACCAACAACACAACCAACCTAGGGATGAATGCAGTTGCTGGATTGATGCACCTTACAGTTGATGCATGTTAAAGGCCCATGGTAGAGTCTTGTTTTGAATCTATGTTTTGACATGAA